TCGGCTCCGTTCGATCCAGAGCACGGGATCGTATGCTTCAAGCAGCTCCATATCAACTCTAAAGGAAAAGAAAAACAGTTTCAGCTCGTCCTCAGCATTTCAGATCAATTCCACGCGACTTTAGGTGACGGAGCTATGGTACAGGGAGGGTCAAGAGGCCGGAACATCAAGGCTCAAGGAGCACCAACCGACGCGTCTACGAGCTCCAACCCGGCATCTACAAGAGCACCATGGGCTACATTTTACTCTTCTCCCGTTCACATCATTTCCAAGCCCTCCAAAAAATCGACAAGGGGGGCGACCCCCAACATTCTGAACCTAAACTCGGTCGCCCTGTTCAACCGCATCAACTCACAAACCGTACGCACGAAATATCTCTCTTATCGACGGGAAGGCAATGCTGCATCAAGTGGCGGAGGGCCCAGTAACAATCTTCATATAAATGGCAGTGCTGAGAATGGACTGACGACTTCTTCGTCCCACTGGTCACCCTTTATCATCTCCTTGGTCCCTCCCAACTCTCACAATGCACCCGTTCGATTTGGAGCACGTGTTCGGTTATCTTCGCCGGACAACAGTTATGTCTCGCACGAGTACATTATTCGTAAAGTGGAGAACAAGCGATCGCTCGAGACGGATTTCGGCACGCAGGTCAGCCAGATGCAAAAGATTGCGCTGTTGAGAGCCGATGTTGCCCCGAATGCGGAGGGGCGCGTGTGTTATTTGTCGGCGCTCGTGGAGCGACCCGGGCCTGAGCCCATCACGGTCATACCGGGAAGCACGCACTCTACAAGTTGGAGGTGGGCAGAAGTCAAGACCGAGGTCGCTGAGGATGGCACGTCCTCTGAAGTACATGTATTGGATGATTATGCTACATGGATGATCGCAGGTATATGTGAGTGTTCAAAGCCATATATTGTCGAGGTGGGATAGCTAATGGTCTACGGCGCAGCGCAATTCCAGTACACATTCTTTGATGCGACAGGATCAAATACCGTCCCTCCTCGAGTACCATTGACACCTGCTCCAAAGCTCAACTATCCACCACGATGGATCCATCCGATCCAGACAGGAGGAGAGCACTCGCTGGAAATGTCCATCACCCATTTCTACTCTTCTACACCACCTGGTCAACTTCCTGCAGTTCCTTCTGCCAATACTCCTTCGACCGTCCATCCTGCTGCCACCAACTCGTCCGCAAAGCAGTCCTTACAGATATGGATAGGAGACTTGGGGCCCCTCAAGACGAATTCGTACGAAGGATTATTGACGAATCACGATGGATTGACCCAATCTGGATTCGTCTTCCCCGTCCTTCCTCCCTTTGGACTACATCATGATCCGAGTCAGGGACAAGCCGGCATGATCGCTCCAACAACACTACACCCTTCGCTACCGGGCATAGGCGGCCATGGAAATTTAGATGTTCCCCTGCCCCTTGCGATGCCCATGACGATCCCCATAGGCCAAGCACCCCCCTCATTAGCCTCACCCGTGGTCAACATTCACAACAGCATGACGGGGGAAATGTTACGTACACCTGTTCTCACTGCTTTCCCACCGGGAGAATTTCATTATGTGGCGGGCGGCACGCCTAATGCTACACCACTGGGAGGGAATGTGAGCGCACAAGGCCAGACCCACGGCGTGGGTACATTAAGGGACCCCGCTCCCTCGACGTTCGTCGCTGCTTTCCTACCAGATATGAACGACTTGATCCGTGCGTTATTGGATAGTGTGCGAACGCCTACTCAGCGTGCCGATTTCTCAAACGCCACAGGCACAATATTGTCTGGGAGGGCGAGTGGGGACATGGATGTGGACCCAGAACGATCTTCCCGACTACAAGGAGAACTAGATGAGAGAGAAGAGGATGATACGGTGATGGGTGTTGGGCTTGTGGAGACGGATGAAGAGTTGTGGGCGCGGAATCCTGCGTTACCCATACTCTTGATCCGACCTACGGATGGGATGGGTTTTCACTCGGGCTATGTCGTCAAGTGTGTACCTGCACAAGGTCACGGCCTGGACAATGTCTCGGGCTGGTCCATCAAGATTGAAAAGGCCGAACTAGGAGGGCTATGAATGCCTTCAAAAAAATCTTCATTAAACCACAAGAGTGCTTAACTTAACCAGAATTTATGTTTAGGTCAATCAGGACAGCGATTAGGGCATCGTCATCTTGGATGCGAAGAAGGATTGTTTTGCATGGGAAAATGTGATCGAGACCACTGCCCGCGCGGTTATCCAGCCCTTTTTCTTCGATTGGGATCTCACTCACTTACTCGCTCAAGTTATACTACTTAATAACTAGGTGCAGCATGATGATATGTAGTTAATTATCTGATTATGCGTCCAATGGAATCTACCTTATAGCCACACTCGGTGCTAACTAGCGCGATGGAGACCGTCCCCGAGGGGCCTTACGTTTGCTGGGTTTGAAAGTTATCCCCGCAAAGCTCTTGGCTCATGATCACTGTCAATATGGGGGGTTGATGGGAGATCATGGGGGAGCAGTAGCCTGTCCGTGTCATCCGCAAGCGGTTTGATCCCCCCAGAGCGAATTGTGTAGTATGTACACAGATTATCCGATATACCACTATTGTGTACGTTAGCTAGAGGATGAGATATTGTGGTCCAATTGAGTCGGCCTTCGACGGGACGGCAGAGATATATGAGACGAAGACGGCTCTGAACGGCTGCAGCATATGAGACCCCATTGTGACTGAAAATATTCGTGTTTTGTACGGAAAAGTCTCATGTAAATGGATCCGG